AGTGGAGTCTTTAGGGTTTTTTATGTACAATATCATGTCATCTGCAAATAGTGACAGTTTGACTTCTTCTTTACCAATCTGGATTTCTTGTATTTCTTTGTTTTGTCTAATTGCCATGGCTAGGACCTCCAGTACTATGTTGAATAACAGTAGGGAGAGTGGGCATCCATGTCTTGTTCCCGCTTTTAGGTGAAAAGCTTCTAGTTTCTTGCTGTTCAGTATGATGTTGGCTATGGGTTTATCATATGACCTTTATTATGTTGAGGTACTTGCCCTCTATACCCATTTTGTTGAGAGTTTTTATCATGAATGGATCTTGAATTTTGTCTAATGCTTTTTCAGGGTCTGTGGAGATGATCATGTGGTTTTTGTCCTTTTTGTTTATGTGGTAGATCATGTTAATGGATTTTTGAATGTTCTACCATCCTTGCATCCCTGAGATGAATCCCACTTGGTCATCATGTGTGATCCTCTTGATGTATTTTTTTATCTCAGTTTACTAATATTTTGTTGAGTATTTTTGCATCTATGTTCATCAGGGATATTGGTCTGTAATTTCCTTTTTTGGTGTGGTCTTTGTGTGGTTTTGGTATTAAGGTGATGCTGGCTTCATAGAATGAGTTTTGGAGTATTCCCTCCTCTTCTGTTTTTTGGAAAACTTGAAGGAGAATGGGTATTATGTCTTCTCTGTATGTCTGATAAAATTCCGCAGTAAATCCTTCTGGCCCGGGTGCTTTGTTCTTGGGTTGTTTTTTGATTACCGCTTCAATTTCATTGCTATTAATTGGTCTGTTTAGATTTTCTGTTTCTTTCTGGGTCAGTCTTGGAAGGTTGTATTTTTCTAGGAAGTTTTCCATTTCTTCTAGGTTTTCCAGCTATTACTTCTTTTATATCTGCTCATTTTATATGATAAAATATTTTATTTGTAGGGGGTTATAAATATGTTTTGATAATGTCTTTGATAACAAAGAGCTTCCTGTTGTAGATATATGCTATAAACACTTAAATGAATATCTGAAATTAAAAAAAAAACAATAGAGGGGCTGCTGTAACATAAGTAGGAAAAATACTGGCCTTGATGTTAGGATATCTGAGTCTTAGATACTAGTTTTAAAACCTTGGACAAGTTGTTTAACCTTTCTAACTATACTTCTCTAAACCTAAGTTTCCTCAAAAAAACAGGAATAATAATGCCATTTCACAGTTTTGTTATGAGGCTCAAATGAGGCTTATATACCAAAGTCCATAGTTATTAAGAGAGTGGGTGAGTGGGCGTGACTTAGAGTAAGCCACAAGACATAATTATCTAATTATTTGTACCAATAGCAATTGCCGAAAGGGCTCAGAAAGAAACCACAGACAGAAAGTTAATGTTGAATGCTTAGTGGGGAGTGTAAACAAATGAACACCTGATCCTGGTAGCTTAAACAATAACATGAAGAAGCTGCCTGTCAGAGCTGGAGGACAAACATGTTATTGTTATTCATATTAATTTTTTTCTACTTGAAGGTAAGGACTGTTCTAAACCCTATTGTGCATAGCACCTAACAAAGAGCCTTACATGAAAACCCTTTATTAAAATAATTTATTAACAAATTGAATTCAATTATTATTATACTATAATGTCTTTGTGATAAGGGAAGTACTTTGGAAACCAAGTTAACTCATTCAGGTCATCATTTGTTAGGATTTACACTGCATTTATATTTTAGTCAACTCTGAATTATGAAGGCTGATACAGCTTCTAAGAATGTCTTAAATGTGTGCAACTTATTCTGAAGAGCTTTTTCTGTACCAGGAATGAAAGTTGTTTTAAACTTGTGTCATCTCCAACCAGTTGGCAATAATTTCCTGGAATATGTTGAGAGGAATCATGAGGCCACATCTGTGTCCTTCAGGAAGAGAGCTGAAGTAATTTAATGAGGTCTGCCATGGACATAGGAAGAGAGGTGGAACAGTCCCCACATCATGGATTTGTCATCTCTGTACTGTACACTTGAGGAAGGCAAGGAAAAGGTCCTCATTGCTCCGTGATTAGCCAGCAATACATTGTTTGCTTTTTATTGTCTCTAGGCAATCTGTTTCAGTTAAATTTTAAGTAATTTAGGGTTATTTTCTGTGACCTATTGCTCTGCTGTTGATTTAAAGGTAATGTCTTATTTCAAAAGGAAACAGGTAGCAGTGAAGATGAGGACATTGTTGGACCAATGCCTGCAAAAGGACCAGTTAACTATAGTGTAACAACAGAGTTTGAAAAAAGGGCCCAGCGAATGAAAGAAAAACTGACTAAAGGAGATGATGTGAGTTTTCAATATTCTTTACTCTGAGAAAAAGACTAACTAAGGAACTAGGTAACCCAGAAGCTATAAAAGGAAAAAACTGACAAATTCACTTACTTAAAAATTTCTGCTTGGCAAAAGATAACAAAGTCAAAAGAATAATAAATTAGATGAAAGTATTTGTAACATAGATGACAAAAATATAAATCCTTTCTATTAAGTCCTTTCTCTTTAAGTTTGTGGTTTAAAGCCTCAGTTGAGAAATAGTCATTTATACAGTATTTTGAGCACATGTGCGCACACACACACACTCTTTCTAGACTACTTTTTCTTTTTTCTTTATTTCTCCTAAAGGATTCATCTAGACCAATTACAAGGGAGTCATGGATGACTGAGCTTCCTCCGGAAATGAAAGACTTTGGTCTTGGGCCCAGAACTTTCAAAAGAAGAGCTGATGACAAACCTGGAGATCGATCAGTGTGGACAGATACTCCAGCGGACAAAGAAAGGAAAGCTAAGGTGAGAGGGTTTGTTCGTCTGTTAATTTATTTTTGTCCATATTGGCTCTATTTTGAAGAGACAGAAGGCAGAATAAGGCATAAAAATTTTTTTAATTATGATTCCTAAGGGAAAATATAGAGTTCTCCCTGAAGGAAAATTATGAGGGAGGGAAGTGACACTAATTGCTTTCTATTTACTTACTATTTCCTAATAAACTGTCTAGTTAAATCTCAAGAAAACCCAGAGACATGGATTTATTGACCCCATTTTATAGATCAGAAACTAACCTCTATGAGACCAACCAACTTTTCTGGAATTGTAATACTGGGTAAATGATGAGCAATAATTCCATTCTAGACCTTTCTGTAAGGCCACATCTCCTTGTCTTTATACAATATCATACTATCTACATGACAGTATATATTTAAAAATATCTGCAAAGAAAAACAAAGCCACAGATTAACTCAGCAAGTTAAATGATATATAAGACTATCTCAAAATGACCTTATGTCAAGTACCCTAAGCTTCATGTTACCATCAAGATAGGCAAGAAGCACTTTCATTAATAGTGCTGAATACTGTATGATCTCACTTACATGTGGAATCTTAAAAAAAAACAAAACAAAACCAAGCTCAAGGTTATAGAGAACAGATTGGTGGCTTTCTCAGATGGGGAGTGAGGAGTGGGCAAATTGGGAAAGAGGGTCAAAAGGTACACATTTCCAGTTATAAAATGAATAAGTCAAAGGAATATAATGTACATCATGGTGACTATAGTTAGTTATACTGTGTGGCATATTTGAAAGCAGCTAGGAGAGTGGATCTTGAAAGTTCCCATCATAAGAAAAAAAAATTTTTGTAACCATGTATGGTTACAGATGTTAAGGAGACCTATTTGTCAAGTCATTATGTTACACACCTGAAATTAATATGTCAATTATGTTGATTACACCTCAGTTTTTAAAAGAAGCACTTTAATGAATACATTAATTTACCAAAAAAATGCATAGAATACATTTTTATATTTTATGTTCTTGAATCTTTCTGCTTATTACAAAATACTCCATTGTAAGTTAGGAATTAAACCAGTGTCCCCAGCATTACTCCTTAAATTTACTCCATCTGAAGGCTTTAATTCCCTTTAGATAGCCCTCAAATCTTAAATGCTTGATTAATTGGTACCTTTTGGTTATAGCTTTATCAGTTTTGACTTAAACAGTTCTACATTTAATTCATTCCCCTAACTCTGCTTATCTAGTTCATTAGTACCTAGAATTATGAGGATTTCTATTTTCATTCTGTAACTAAATTGAATGCCTCTGCCAGCATTCTGTTTGATTGCAGGTAATAGATGAAAAGCTCTTTAAAGAGCTTTCGTTTTAGTGGAGAATTGATGATGAAATAGTTTTTCTTAAAATGTGGATAGTATGTTGACACCTCCACATATTAGCACCCTACCCTTCATGTGGCAGAATCATAAGTTCTCTGTTACCTTGAAGACTGAAGGAAATCCGAGAGTTGTAGTACAAAGGTGAGGTGAACCAACAACACCTGGGGCAGATGAGGCACCAAGAACTGGGGGATAGAAGTGAGCCACACCCTTGACTGGCTAGTATCGGAATGCCTGTCTGTGCTTTCTTAAGTGGTGCTTTCCACAAATAACATATTGGCATTTTTATAATTTAACCTTTAAGATTATTTCTAAAAAGACAATTATTTTCCTTGCTAACATGGACTTATTTGTGCCTCCATTTATTTGAGCTTTTTTCTGCCCTTCTGTTCCTCGTTGTAGTAAGTAGTTGTCCAGCCTACAGCCAGACTGGCAGGGAGTGTTCTTCAGAACAAAATGTCACAGAAAAGTGGAGCAAGTGGAAACGAGACAGGATAGTTTGAACTGAAGTGATTTTCTGTCCTGTGACTGAATTCTTTAGATGTGGTTATTCTTTTAAGTGCTTTAAATGTTTGGTTCAGTATTTATAGTGGGCTCATAAAGGCATCATCAATACACCTTTAATTTTTTGTGATAGTATATTACAGCATATAGTACCACAGCCTTGGATTTGTGATACAATCTATATAATATCAGAGAGCTATTCTATTCATTTTTTAATGGCTTTGCTGTTGTGTAAAGTTCATGATTAATTTTTGTCATGGCAGATCTTATCTAGATTTCTTTCTGTTGGCTTCTCTCCACTCATTTTTTTATATTTGATTTCCCAGCATACATCTCCTTATACCACCAGTATTCCCACATTTACTTATATTCACTTTGCTAACATGACGTAAAAGAAGTGAAATTGCTCTTTAGGAAGAAATGGAAATATTATGCATAAATTAGTTGACTCAGATCTGTTATGTCCTCACCTCCCATTTCTTGACTAGATCTACTAACTCTTAATATTAAGTGGTCAGGTTTTTATCTCCATCTTACCGTAACGTTATTTTTCTCTTAGTATTTACAAGTAAAAACATCTATTTTCCAAGAAAGTTTTTATGGAAAAGTAAGAAATGAGCTATTCCTCTGTTTTTAACATAAGTCATTAAATGTAATGTTGTTTTAGTAGTACATTATTGGGTAGAAATTGTAAAGGTCCTCATTGGTTTTCTTAAGAAAATAGCAATAGTATAAAAATATGCTTTAAGAACAGTGGTTTTTCAATTGTTTTTATGTGGGCTTTCCTCATTCCTGGTTGGGACTATATTCTCTAGAATTTTTTTTTCTAATTAAAATTTGGAAATTTACCTAAGTACTTCACTTTTCTGTGTACACAATTATAAATTTTTTTTATTGAAGCACAAATTACAATTGTTCATTGCTGGCTTATTTTGTATATTGCCCTTGTGTCCTACAGCTTTTGCTATACTTGCTTATTAGTTCCAGGAGCTTTTTGTAGATTCTTTGAAATTATCTACATAAACAATCATGTCATCTGTGAACAGAGTTTTACTTCTTTTCCAAATTGTAAACCTTTTAATTCTTTCTCTTTATCTTTTTCCCCCAGGAATGATTTTACTAGTATTGAAAATATAATACAGGATTTCTTTTAAAACCTAATTTTCTCTCCTACATTTTGCCATTGTTTATCAAACTCATTTCAGAATTCAATAAACAGATGATTTCTTCCAGTTGACTAGATAAAGTTGTTTTTTTTTCTTGTTTTCAGGAAAATAATAGGGTAGAACACTAACTGATCCCTTAATCAAGTTGACTAATATTTCTAGTGGGAAAGATTCAACAAGCCTGGCTTACTTTAGTCTCTTATTAGTCTGAGTAAAAAAAAATAGTATTTCTTTCTTATTTTTTCTTAATTGTATGGTTCAGTAATGTGCTATCTGTGTTCATTCCTCAGGAAACACAAGAAGCAAGGAAGTCATTAAATAAGAAAGACGAAGAACATATATTGTCAGGAAGGGAAAAGAGATTGGCGGAGCAGGTATCTTCATACAATGTAAGTAAGAATAAAATATATAACCTTTTATTTCTTTTCTGTCTTTTAATGCTTGTCACATTTTTTCTCTGTCTTGTTTCTCTTTCTTTTACATGTCTTCCTCTTTATCTCAGTCTTTTTCTATTTATCTGTCCTGAAAAAATTCCGCTCTGTTGTATTTCACATATATATATATATATATATACACACACACACACACATACATATCCTTTTGGTAGAGTTTTTTAATGTATTTAATGTAATGTTTCCATTTCCTATTTTACTTAAGTATTATATATCAGAAGCTTAATTCCTAAGGATTAGTAGCAGGTGATCAGGAAGCAAGAGCCCTAGTAACTCCTAGACATCCTCAGTTCATATTTTAAATTATAAGCAGATTTGACTTAAGTACAATTTTTTAAATGTTTTTAAAAGATGGTCCATTCTAAATTTATAAACTAAACAGTATTCATTTAGCATATTATTTCATTATATTGTCTTACTCAAAAAAAAAAAATATTAGGTGAGTGGTCCTGTCCTAAGAATAAATGTAAATTACTTAACACTTCGGGCCCTGAAAGGTGTTCAGGTATTCAAGAAAATTACCTTCTGTTGCCAGTGTGTTAGTTAATAAAAAGTTTCATAGCCATTAAAAATAAAATAAAGTCAGCATGATTTATTGAATATATATAGACCAGTACACAAACAGTGAAACATACATGAAACATTTTGGGAACTGACCAAAACTCAACCCTTATAGGGTTTTTGAAAACTGACCAGCTTAAAAGGCAAGTCTGGACAAAGTTGAAAGTATCACTATCATTCAAATCATGTTCTCTGAATACAAGGAATGTTAAGTTAAAATTTAGTATACTTTAAAAGCTCTATATGACTGGAAATCAGAAAAATTCAGAATTTAGACTTTGTATCAAAGAAGACATATAGAATTTAGAAAATGCCTGGACCTGAATAATAACAAAAATACAACATATCAAAATGTGTGGAATACAATATGAAGTGGCACTTAGGTAAAATTTATAGCCATAATGAGTTTGTTAGAAAAGAAGAACAGCTGAAAATTAATAAGTTGGGCCTTTTTTCAAATGGGCATTTGTACTAAACATACAGCTGTCCTGTGAGTCTGCAACTCCAACCCTAGGTATTACTTAAGACAAATGAAACATGTCCATACGAAGACTTGAACATGTTTTATTCAAAAAAGCCTCAAAAAAGACTTGTACAAGAATGTTCATAGAAACTTTATTCACAATAGCTAACTTTTGTGAACAGCCTGGGTGTCCATAAGAGAAAGTGAAAACATACTGTGTATACAATGGAATGTTAGTCAGCAATAAAAAGGAGCAAATTACAAATAAACATGGATGAATCTCAAAGTCATTATGCTGAGTGAAAAGTCATACATACATAAGGAAGTACATTCGTATGATGCCATTTATATGAAGCACTACAATAAGCAAAATGAATCTGTGGTGGGGAAAAGAATCAGAATAGTGGCTGTTGTAGTGGGAGTGTGAGGATTGATGAGGAAGAGGCATACAGAGTTTTCTGGGGTGATAGAAATGTTCCAGATTTTGATAGGAGTTTGAATTGTAAAACTCAGTGAATGTACACTTAAGATTTGTGCATTTATATAAATTTATCTTAAGAGAAAAAAATTGTGAATATATATTTTTTAATTTTTTATTAAGGTATTATTGATATGCACTCTTATGAAGGTTTCACATGAAAGAACAATGTGGTTACTACATTTACCCATATTATCAAGTCCCCATCCATACCCCAATGCAGTCACTGTCCATCAGTGTAGTAAGATGCCACAGGTTCACTATTTGCCTTATCTGTGATACACTGTTTTCCCTGTGATCCCTCACACCATGTGTACTAAACATAATACTCCTAAATCCCCTTCTCCCTCCCTCCCCACTTGCCCTCCCACTTGGTAACCACTAGTTCATTCTTGGAGTCTCTGAGTCTGCTGCCATTTTGTTCCTTCAGTTTTGCTTCATTGTTATACTCCACAAATGAGGAAAATCATTTGGCACTTGTCTTTCTCCACCTGGCTTATTTCACTGAACATAATGTCCTCCAGCTCCATCCATGTTGTTGCAAATGGTAGGATTTGTTTCTTTCTTATGGCTGAATAGTATTCCATTGTGTATATGTACCACCTCTTCTTTATCCATTCATCTAC